AGAGACAGAGACAGAGACAGAGACAGAGACAGAGACAGAGACAGAGACAGAGACAGAGAGTGATGGAAAATGTTCAAAAACAGTGGACTGAAACTATCTACAAAAACTACAGGGTATACCAAAGTCGTTGACCGCCAAAAAAAAAACCCCAAACAAACAAACAGAAACAAGACAAAACAAAAACAAAAAAACAGAAAGAGAAAACCTTTCATAAAAGTAATAAAAACTGCTTTAACATACAAAAAGTCCTTTAGTAAAACGTGAAAGGACCACCCGGAGAGACAATTACATAATTTATTACCAGAAAAAAGGAATCAGTATCATAAATATCAACTTTAGTAACGATGATTTTCATGACTCTCATCATGCGCAATGCCTGTCCTTGTCCTCATTTTGCACCTGTTAATGCTTATTACTCCCTTCTTCAAAGGTATGGCTTACTGACAGACAACAAGCTCTCACTTTACATTTTTCATACCACCCCCTGAATCATTCTCTCAGACGATGCACTAGATCTAGATCTGGAATGAATCAACTCCATATCCCTGCAATGACAGGGCTTCGACTTTCTTTGCGGACTAGAACTTGTAGAAATCAGCGGGTTTTTTTCTAACCTAAAACGCCCTTTTTTGGGTTATTGCAAGACATGGCTGATGCAGCAACGGTGCTCAACTGACTTGTTAAAATTTGTACGTAAATATATAGACACTGCATTGTGAGCGAATGATCAAACATAAGCTCTTTCAGATTTGGTGCAGATTTGTGGATAAATGGGAAAGTTATTAATTGTGTTCTTGTGGTCATCGAGTTTGGGACAGTAGGTAAATTCATTGTCCGGGACTTCACAGTGACGTTAAAGATTGTTCCAGAAGGGAACAGGATAGAGAATGCCCACGTCCCTCGTGACTCATTGGAGCAGAGGAAGATAGGACTAATGCCAACATTACTTAAACGCAACACCACATAATCACTCATCACTAGCATTATTTCTAAAATCATCTTTGCTCTCAGATCATTAACTTACATCTATAATCCTTGAATCTCTATTTGTAACAGTTACATAATATGGCATACTACGTATGCATGTACTACTTTTTTGGATTCTATCATACGCACTGTTTTCTACTAATCAGATGACATCAATCTTTTATAAATGGGATAAGATTGGGATAACAAAAAGGTAAATTCATTGTCGATGCTAATTCAGAAATAAAGTTTGGGACACAAAGGACAGTAACTAATCTCTTCCACCATCAGCGCGAAATCAGAAATTGAACAGAGACAGGAAGTTTTCCCCCTATATGTTTCTCTTTCTTTTGTGGGAGAGGAAAGGGGGGGGGGCGTGTGTTATTAAATATAAGCCATTTCAGTCTAAGTCGATTATATTACGTCAGCAGTACCGTCAAGGGCGGGAATAAGCCGGTCTGTCCAAGTCAAGGGACAAAATGAATCAATTTCAAAAACATTGTGAACATTAGCAGGATAAAACTGAGTGAAACCGGTTGAAAGATCAAACTTTCAAAAATGTTAGTAAAAATGACGCTATAGAATTTCAGGTCACATAAGGGCATTTCATGAGATAAAGTAATATTACTGCTTCCATCCGGACCGGAAGCTATTCATTTTAATTTTCAAGACGGACACTGATATTATTTTGTTTTTATTGTTATGTTATCAACACACCGCTAGGCACACTCATTATTAAAGGGTGCTCTCGTGGTCTAGGGTTAAAGTGTTCGCCTCTCACTCAACAGGTCGTTGGTTCGAATTCTTATAGCGACAAAAAATTCACTTCTTTAAAATTTTAATTTTCTCCTTTCACATCCTTTCCTTCTCTATAACAATGTTCTGTCGCCTGCTTTCGTCTCCACTTTCTGCCCCCACCCTCTCACCTCATTTGCCCCCTTGTCTGAGCTCCTGATTCTTTCTGAAGTCTTTCTATTGCTACTCCTTGGCTCCTTCTTACTGCTGTCACACCCTTGATCTTTTGGTAGGAAAGAATTACACCTAGCCTTCTCGGATAAGGGCGAAATATCTCGGAGGTCCCGTCTGCAGGTTGCGCAAGTTAAAGTTCCCTTGTTGGTCCAGAATCGATAAGAGTTGACTTCCACCGCCATCCGAGCAAAATTCAAAATTCCCTACCAACTGAAAATGTTTAATGTGTCCCACGTGCTCATATTATTATGACATATGCTGCTGTGAGCGCCGTAAAACACTTGGTTTCACCATGTCTGGTCATGGGGTAGAGGGGTGGCTCCCTCCCTGATATTTCTTTTTTTACTTTTCATTTCTTTTCTTTTCTGGCTCTGTTGTGTGATAGCTGGAATCAGATGAGACCCTAATTACACCGTTGTTCTCCCCCCCCCTCCACCCGCCCCCACCCACCCCGACCCCCAAGGATCTCTCTAGACTACGGACGTAGCTTCCACATCACTCATTGCATTCTTGACATCATCATTCGCAGTGCTTTCTGGACTCTTGTCGAGAACGGCTTCACCAGTAGGCGTTGTCTCATTGGTAGGCGTTGTCTCAATAGGAGTCGTCTGTTTAGTAGTCGTTGTCTCATTGGTAGGCGTTGTCTCAATAGGAGTCGTCTGTTCGGTAGGCGTTGTCTCATTAGGACGAGATGTCTGTTCGTTTTTTTCTGTCGCTGTCTTCTCAATTTCAGCCATGTTGTTTTGTTGTGTCTCATAGTTGGAGTTGGAGTCGTTTTCCGTCCCTTTCTGGGATGCTTGTCGGAGCAGGAAAGTGGACACTTTGTTATCTAAGCTGCAGAAAAGAGATTGCAAAAACCCTTAATATGTGTGTATTCTATCACTTATAATTTATAATCGATAATGAACGAAGAGATTGACTAGCTATAGACTTTCCACTTTAAGGAATGAACACCTCCGGATCTGGGCTAAAAACGCAACAAAAGAAAAGAAAAAAAGGGACTGTAAGCTTTAACTTTAAGACATCAACACAACAACTCAGAAGCACTGTGTTTGGCCTCTTTCTATTCTGTAATGGCTGAGATCTTTTCTTTAACAAGAGTGCTTTTCAAACTGAGAAGCAAGTTTTGAAGTTCCCTTTCTTCAAACTCTCAGAACGCTGCCATTTCCTGCTGTGGCAGACAAAACATACGTATAATTATAGTCTTCACAAAAAGTTAAGGACCACTTGCAAAAGTGCACGAATGAATAATAAAAACCAGGAAATCAAATTATTTATTCTTTAACATACATTTAATTCGTCAATCCATAAGTGCAAAAAAGAAATGTCATCACAATCGAGACCAAAATGCATGATTCCCAGCGTTCAAAAGGTACCCACCCTCAAAATCGAAAATCACAAAAAAAAGGCGTGGGGAATGTTGTTCCATTTTTGTTACAACCATCCAAGTAACTGCTGGTGGGCAAAGGGGGGTTCTCCCGAACTATCCGATCAAGCTCAGCCTACAACTGTTCAATAGGATTGAGGTCTGGACTGTTGGCTGGCCAAACCATGCGGGTAATCCCCGCCTGCAGAACAAAGGCGTTGACGCCCTGGACCTGTGCGGTGCGGCGTTGTCGTCCTGAAGGACAACAGCTGGCCCAATCTGCTTCAGCACCGTGACGACGAGAGATCGAAAGATCTCCGGCAGATATCGCTGCCCTGCCAGGATGCCTTGACTGCCTTGCCGTGAATGGTGGGCACATGCGCTTCTGACAATTCCAATGACATTCACGAACTTGATACAGTCGTTTTCTTTGATATTTCTGGGACTTTTTGAGACCCTTTCTTTTGCGATTTTCGATTTTGAAGGTGGGTCCCTTTTGAGCGCTGGGAATTACCAATTTCGGCCTCGATTGGGATGAATTTTGTTGTTGTTGTTTTTTTTGCACTTATGGATTGATGAATTAAATGTGTGTCAGAGAAGGCATAATCTGAATTCCTGGTTTTTATTTTGAGTGCACTTTCGTAAGTGGTCCTTAACTTTTTGTGAAGACTGTATTTAAATAGCGTTGTCATGGTGTGTACGTATAAACCAGCTGTTGCCCTAGTTGATAAAATCCCAATGGACCCGGATTTGACTCCATAAAAGGTTTTCTTCAACTTGGTTTATTGGAAGACTTTTCACACCTCTCCCGCTTCTTATCTCTGCCCTGTTGGAGATGGACAGTCAACAAGAGGCCGTGTCTCTTATTAAACAATGCACAGTGTTGGAAGAGGCGTTTTCACTCTGGCCATACAAACACTTTTCTTACCACCATCTGTGGTGCGGTGATTAGGCGCTTCGCCGTCGTACGCAGAAAACTTGACTTGGATTCCCGTGTGGAGAGAAATTTTGTCTCGAGTTGTTCCTGACTGGCAGGGTCTAAGCCGCCCCCTGAATGACCCAATTTGTGCATTTGAGGGGAGTAAATACTTCAATATTTAAATAAGCAAACTTGTTTTCAGAGAAAAGAAAAAAATAATTAAAGGAAGAAGCTGCGGCGTTCACCACTGTACAATTCTTCAGTTGCCTTTTATAAATGAACGGAAAATGTACACGAGGTCTACTTACTCGCTGGAAGGTCGGTCCTCTCCTTTGTCTTTTTCGTCCACTACCTCGATGGCACATGGTGTGGCAGTGCCTTTTTCTGGGGCGGTCAAGAGAATGCCTGGATCTGAGGCTAGGTCAGAGTGACCAGTCAGACTCGTGAACATTCCGGGGATCTCGGGGCTTTGTTTCTGTGGTTTGTCAGAAGGAGAAGAAGAACATCGACTTACACTAAAAGTTTGATTTATATATATATATATATATATATATATATATATATATATATATTTATATATATATACTTAATAATGCAAACACATACACATAAACATAATCGTTCAGTTTCTAAATCTGTGATACAGGTTGCATGTGGTCAAGAAACATTTTGAAGAAAAAAACATAATGTAGGCACTATTGCTAAAAGAATGAAACAGTTTCTTCTCACGCCTGTAAAATTTGCTTTTTGGGCTAAATAGATTTGAATAGATTGCTGGCGAAAAAAATATGAACAATAGGCATTGGTACAGTACTCTGGTCTCTCTTCTGTGAGTTTAAAAGTGAGGTTTACTTTTACAAAAAGCATCTTACACATATTTCTTGGTCAAAATACCTTTAATTTTAACTACATTATTCAACGAGCGGACAAAATACCTTCCATTTGACATCAAACTCTTAAATATTTTGTAAACATTGGTTCATACTATAGGGTTACTAATAGATTTTTTATAAGAGCTGCTGTCGTAGACATTAGTCGGTATCATCAGTTTTGGTACGGGCAATTTGCTCATGCTAATAGCTTAAAATGTTTTAGAGGATGGAATATTAATAATAATATTGTAAAAATACACCTACGTAATAAATTATAACCCACGCCACTTTGACGACAGACTAAGGATAACATCTTATCCACTTGAAGATTAGGCTTTCATGTGTGCGGCCTGCTTTACTTACACGTCTGTTTTTCTTGTCCATTTTCATCCTTCTGGACATGATTCTGGGCACGAAGATGATCATGAGAATAGCATAGAGCAAAAGGAAGGCTATGGCCAAGCTGATGGAGAAAGCCAATACGCCGTGGCGGCCGAAGTCAGTGGTCGGACCTTCCGGACTGGGGCAGTCGGTGTGGTCGCCATGAGACTGACCAGTCTTCGAATCACTCGTGCTGGTGTCTGTGACTTTGTTTCCGTTGTTGTTGCTGTTGTTGTTGTTGTTGTTGCTGTTGTTATTATTGTTGTTGTTGTCGTTGTTGTTGTTGTTGTTGTTATTGCCACTGCTGCTGCTGCCAATGTTGTTGTTGCTACCATAGGCTTTCACAGTTGTTGACCTCCACACCGACTCTGCTTTTGCTGTTGATGTTCGTTGCGTTGGTACCACTTTTGGCGTCATCGATACTGTTGTCTTCGTAATCGTTGTCGTCATCGTCTCGGAAGGTTTTGTTGTAGATCGTGATAAGGTCGTCGTCTGTGGCATGGGCGGGTATGTCTGCGTTCCTCTGTCTGTGAGCCAACCTGGCCCTGCTGTGGATATCGACGACGTCCATGACGTCATCCTTGGCCTGGCTGACGTCGTCGTCGTCGTCGTCCTGTATGACGTCATCGGTCTTCCAGTTGACGTCACCCTTTTTCTGGACGGTGTGATTGTAAGCGGAGAGGTATTCGGGTATCTCCTGCTTGTGTCTTGAGTACCAGTAGATGTACCAGGCCGCTCAGACGCTCCAGATGATGCTGCTGCTGTTCTTGCTGTTGCTGCTGTTGCTGCTGTTGTTGGTTCCATTGCTACTTGTCTTTTGTGGATGTGGGCATGAGTACGTGCGGACCTGACGGGGCGATACCTGAACCAAAATTCAGGGTGGGGTCGGAGGTCACCACGTCTAGGACCGGTGTTCGTAAGGAGGGAGTTATCTTCGGAATTGTCGCTGTCTTCTCCTCCTGTTGTGAGTGAGTA